ACCCTGACACCAAAACCTGAAAAGATATCACACACAAAAAGAAAATTTCAGGCCAATATGAACATAAATGTAAAAATCCTCAATAAAGTGTTAGCAAACAAATTGAGCAATACATGAAAGGAATCATGAGCCATGATCAAGTAATATATTTATGCCAAGGATGCAAGGATGCTTCAATATCTGCAAAACAATCTATGTCATACATTATATTAAGAAACTGAAGAATAAAATTCATATAATCATCTCAATAACTGCAGAAAAGTTTTTGACAAAATTCAACATCCATTTATGATAAAAACTCTCCAGAAAGTGGGTATAGAGGGAACATTTCTCAACAAAACAAAGGCCATATATGACAACCCACATCATACTCAAAACAAAGGCCATATATGACAACCCACATCATACTCAATGGGGAGAAGCTGAAAGCATTTCCTCTAAGATCAGGAGCAAGACAAGGATGCCCACTCTCACGACTTCTCTTTAACGTAGTATTGGAAGTCCTAGTCACAGAAATCAGACTAAAAAAAGAAATAAAAGGAATGCATACTGAAAAGGAAGAAGTAAAATTGTCAATATTTGAAGATGGTATGACACTATACATAAGAAATCCTAAAGACACCACCAAAAAGCTACCAGAACTCAACAATGAATTTGGTAAGGTTTCAGGTTACAAAACGAGTATACAGAAATCTGTTGCATTGCTATACACTAAAAACATAGTATCAGAATAGAAATTATGAAAACAATTCCCTTTATGGTTCCATCAAAAAGAGTAAAATGCCTAGGAATAAATCTAACTAAGTAGGTACAAGACCTGTGCTTCAAAAACTGACGAAAGTAATTGAAGATGAGACAAACAGATGGGTAGACATTCCTCCAAAAAAGATATACAGATTGCCAACAAACACATGAAAGGATGCTCAACATCACTAATCACTGGATAAATGCAAATCAAAACCACAATGAGGTATCACCTCACACCAGTCAGAATGTCCATCATCAAAAATCTACAAACAATCAATGCTGGAGAGGGTGTGGAGAAGAGGGAACCTTCTTGTACTGTTGGTGGGAATGTAAATTGATACAGCCACTATGGAGAACAGTATGGAGGTTCCTTAAAAAACTAAAAATAGAACTACTATATGACCCAGCAATCCCACTACTGGGCATATACCCTGAGAAAACCATAATTCAAAAAGAGTCATGTATCACAATGTTCACTGCAGGACTATATACAATAACCAGGACATGGAAGCAACCTAAGTGTCCATTGACAGATGAATGGATAAAGAAGATGTGGCACATATATACAACGGAATAATACTCAGCCATAAAAAGAAACAAAATTGAGTTATTTGTAGTGAGGTGGATGGACCTAGAGTCTGTCATACAGAGTGAAGTATGTCAGAAAGAGAAAAAAATACCATATGATAACACATATATATGGAATCTAAAGAAAAAAAATGGTTCTGAAGAACCTAAGTGCAGGGCAGGAATAAAGACACAGACATAGAGAATGGACTTGAGGACATGGGGAGAGGGAAGTATAAGCTGGGACGAAGTGAGAGAGTGTCACGGACATACATACGCTACCAAATGTAAAATAGATAGCTAGTGGGAAGCAGCCACATAGCACAGGGAGAACAGCTCGGTTCTTTCTGACCACCTAGAGGAGTGGGATAGGGAGGGTGGGAGGGAGATGCAAGAGGGAGGAGATATGGGGATATAGAATATGTATAGCTGATTCACTTTGTTATAAAGCAGAAACTAACACACCATTGTAAAGCAATTGTACTCCAATAAAGATGTTAAAAGAAAGAAAGATATAGAATGTTCATGGATTAGAAGAATTAATATTGTTAAGATGACCATATTATCCAAGGCAATCTACAGACTCAGTGAAATCCCTATCAAAATATCACTGACACTTTTCACAGAGCTAGAACAAATAATTCTAAAAGGGCAAGGAAACACAAAAGACCCCAAATAGCCAAAACTATCTTGAGAAAGAAGAACAAAGCCAGAGGTATCACACTCCCTGATTTCAAACTATGCTACAAATCTACAGTAATCAAAACAGTATGGTACTGGCACAAACCCACACACATAGATTAATGGAACAGAATAGAGAGCCCAGAAATGAACACACACTTTTATGGGCAAATAATCTTGTCTACGACAAAATATGCAAAAGTATACAGTGGGGAAAATACAGCTTCTTCAATAAATGGTGTTGGAAAAACTGAACAGTTACATGCAAAAGTATTAAACTGAACTACTCTCTCACACCATGCACGAAAATAAATTTAAAGTGGATTAAAAACTTAAATGTAAGACCTGAAACCATGAGACTTCTGGAGGAAAACACAGGCAGTGTACTCTTTGACTTAGTCTTAATAATTATCTCTCCTCAGGTAAGGGAAACAAAAGCAAACATAAACAAATGGGACTACATCAAACTAAAAATCTTTTGCACTGGGAAGAAAGTTATCACAAAATCAAAAGTCCATCTACTGACTGGGAGAAAATATTTGCAAATGATGTATCTGATAACAGGTTAAGTATACAAAATATACAAAGAACTCATAAAACTCAACATCAAAAAAAAAAAAAACCCAAACAACCAGATTGAAAAATAGGCAGAAACTCTGAATAGACATTTTTCCAAAAACGGCATGCACATGAAAAAAATGTTCAATATCACTAATCATCAGGGAAATGTAAATCAAAACTGTAATGAGATATCACCTCACACCTTTCAGAATGGCTATTGTCAAAAAAACCCACAAATAACAAATGTTGGCAAGGATGTGGAGAAGAGGGAACTCTAGTGCACCATTAGTGGAAATGTAAATTGGTGCAGCCACTATGGAAAACAGCATGCAGTTTCTTCAAGAAGCTAAAAATAAAACTACCAAATGATCCAACAATTTCACTTCTGGGATTATGTCTGAAGAAAATGAAAACACTAATTCAAAAAGGTACATTCAATATTCATAGAAGCATTATTTACAATAGCCAAGATATGGAAGCAAACTAAGTGTCCATCAACAGATGAATGGATAAAGAAGAATGTGAGATATATATATATATATATATATATATATATACATACACACACATATGTATGTATACAATGGAGTATGACCCAGCCATAAAAAAGAATGAAATATTGCCATTTGCAACAACATGGATGGACCTGGAGTGAAATAAGTCAGAAAGAGAAAGACAAATACTAAATATTATCACTTGTATGTGGAATATAAAAAATTAAACATGGGATATATGTTTATGTATAGCTGATTCACTTTGTTATACAGCAGAAACTAACACACCATTTAAAAGCAATTATACTCCAATAAAGATGTTTAAAAAAAATTAAACCATAGATTGTTCTTTCCATTTTTGTCATTTAGAAAACAGTATTAAGCCCAAAATATCCTTCTATGGGACTTTGTTGTGATAGCTGCCTTAAATTCTTTTAGGAGCAACCTAGAATGGAAAGATGTTAACTAGTTTGCAAATTAAAATATAAACATAAACTTTGTTTACATATTTATAATATTTTATTGTAAAAGCACTCATTTTTAGTAGCCACTTCTTTGTGGCAATGCTACTGCTTCTTTTTGCATCATAATTTATTTGGTGGGCTTTGAGAGGAGCTTCACTGAAGACGGCAGGTGGAGAAGTGAATTCTAATGTAAAGTACTACCCCCTTATAATTTAGGTCTTATCTTCCTAACATTCAAAGCTAAAACAAGGTTTATAGTCTTAAATTCAATCACATTCTTCTATCAGGAAATATCAAAAAGTATTACTTCAGCAAATGTCTGTGAAAATATTTTGAGCAAGCTGCCATAAGGATACACAAGGATACCAGGATGTTTGTGCAGGGGCTCACACCACAACTTACTCCTTCTTGCCTTTGCATAATAACATATATAACAGCAACAATAATAGCAGCAGCACTTACATAATGTTTATCCTGCTGTTAGATAGAGATGTGTGTGTGTATACACAGACATATCAAAAATACTAGGGGGCTTCCCTGGTGGAAGTGGTTGAGAGTCCGCCTGCCGATGCAGGGGACCCGGGTTCGTGCCCCGGTCTGGGGAGATCCCACATGCCGCGGAGCGGCTGGGCCTATAAGCCATGGCCGCTGAGCCTGCGCGTCCGGAGCCTGTGCTCCGCGACGGGGAGGCCACAGCAGTGAGAGGCCCGCGTACCGCAAAATAAATAAATAAATAAATAATTAAAATAAAAAAATAAAAATACTACATACATAGTACATGTACGTTTGTGTGTGTATATATGCACATATGTATGTATGCATATGTGTATATATACACAATCCTCACAGTGAGGCTTGTGATATTATTATGCCCATTTAAAAATAAGAAAAGTGAGACCAGAGATGTTAAGTAATTTGACCAAAATCAGCGGGCTCCAGAGTTTGTACTCTTCACTGCTATGCCATGAACATAGTGTCCACTCAGGTTAGTCCCTAGGGAAGGAGATACCAGCTACCTTGCTCTTATACTTCTTTTTGATTAATAATTTATCCCTTGCTGTGTTCATGGCTATGATTTCCCTGGCTCCTGCCACTGCCCCAGAAGTAAGTTTAGAATTGTTTCTTGGTGCTTTCCTTTTTCTAAAAGAAAAATCAGCTACATTATGTGGTGGTAAAAATGGCTCAGCAGGATCTGTTCTTTTGAATATCAAAGGCCAGTGTAGGCAACAACATAAAAAAAATAGACATAAAAATGAACCCACTGGAATACATGGATCTATGGGAATCAATAACTTAGAAAGAACTCATGTGAATCTATCTATATACATAAATATAAATATAAATAAATATATATATATATTTAAATGTGGTGATTAGCCAGTGACACTGTGTTCTTCCTTCAGGGTAAAAGAAAAGCTCTGAGACACCAAAGCATTCCTGCTCTGTCTAGAGTTTAATATATTGCCCTCATGGTTTTCCCCTCAAGGCTTATTAGAAGAAGATAACCAGTGGATGACCCAGATAAACAGACTCCAGAAATTAATTGATAGACTGGAAAAGAAGGTGAGTGCTTCCTTTTCTTTCTTCTCCCTCTTAGTTTTCAGTAGATTATGACTCATTATTCCTTATTCCCCCAATATTCATGTCTGCCTGGATAGACTAGCAACCAGGATCTCCGTTATACTGCTTGATAGTTATTTGGGATTTTTGTTAAAGCAAATATAATGTTAATTCTCATTCCCCCCATGCCAATCCCTAATTATAGTTAAAATAGTATATAGGGTTTAAAGTTAAATAAATCTACTGCATTGTCTGACTTTTAGGTTATCAATCATGTAAGGTAGCAGTGTGCTTGAATGATGCAAATGGCAGCTCTTGGGAATGACCTGGTTGATGTCTTGGGAATGTTTCAAAGTGATTCAGGGAAATGGCTGTGTGGTACACTAAAAGATGATATTGTACACTCAACTTCTAGAAATTAGCATTTTAACTGATGATTTTTAGCATGAAAACTACCAAGTTAGCAAGCAAGTTAAGATATGATGAAGAGTTCTTCAGAACTATATTTTATGTTTCCAGTTATTGTATTTTTATTGACTAATTCAATTAGCACCAAGTAGTCCTGATATTATAATTATATTCCTCTTAAGCAGCTTTAATGGAAGAGGCTGCTTTTGTTAATCAGTAAGAATATGTGTTTTCTGTGCATGCCAAGCACGAAGGAAGGAACCTTTATGCTTGAGAGAGAGTTTCTAACTTTGAAGAACCCAGAGTCTACCTGTAAAAATATTCTATATTCATAAAATGAGTTAACAGATTTTTAAAAGTATGCAGTTGCACAAAACCAAGCTCATTGTTAATGCTCAGTAAATACTTAATGACTGACTGAGACATGCCAAAGGAATGGAGCATATACTAAAATTTACAGTTGCTAACCTGACAGAATGATCACTGCAAGCTGGGAAGGACCGCTTGTGTCAGGAAGGGCTTAAGGGGCCTTTAGAAATGATGACAATTAGGAATTTTGAGTGCAAGTAACAGAAATTACCTCTTTAATAAAAAAGAAATCTCTAGAAGGAAATGGGAGTGTTCACAAATCAACAGACAGTCTAGAGATCTAGACTTAGGAAGTCAGTAGACAAGATAAGTCTAGAGATGTAGGTAAGCAAGAAATACTCACCAGTCTCTCAGGTTGTCTCCACTGTAATAGATGAGTTTCAAAAATTTCCAGTCTATGGACATTCTGCTCAAGATTCCACTTTCCAGGAGGGAGAGTCTGGTTTGTCTTGTTATGGTTGCATGCAGGTCTCTTAGATAAGGAAGGAGAGAAAACCTTGGTTAACAGTCAAGTATTAAAATGAGATGAGATCATTCACTGAAGGAAATTGTATTGTCACTAAAATCAGAATAAATGTTAGTCAGCTAACAAACTAATAAGTATTTGCTATGGGAAAATAAATTTTTAGTAAACAGAGAGCAGTTGGAGAGGGCATTCAGGTAAGGTGATGGCATGAGCAAAGGTTAAGTAGACCAACCTGGTTAGAGTCTTCCATTTAGGGACATAGTGACAAATAAGATTATATGAAAGGATGGGGCTGAATTATGGATGGCCTTAAATAACAGACTAAGGAATTTGGACTTGATCTTGGAGACAACAGGAGGCATTTATTATTTTTCAACAGATAAGTGACATAATAAAAAAGATCCTTTAGATAGAAAATTGGACAGCAAGAATATGAAATGGATTCAAACAAGATTCAAAGTCAGAGCTACCAAAGCCAGCTATAACAGTGACATTAAAGGGCAGGCTGTATACCTGAGCCCACTGGGATCAAGTATAGTAAAAGATGGGCCTGGACTAAGTGACTAAAAAGAAAATGGCAGATTTGAAAGACTTGAGGTGAAATTAACAGGACCGTTGAATGGGTATGATGGGTAAAAGGGTAGTTTCAAATAGGAGTCTGAGGATTTGAGCCCAAGTGTCTGAGACAATTATACCACTAATAGACAAGGGAGAGACAGTGAGAGATAATTGGTGAGGTGAGGTGAGGAGGTGAACTGGTTTATTAAATTTCAAGATATAATAGGACATCTAAGTAGAAATATCCAGTTAGATTAGTATCTAAGAAGCCAGAACAACAGATTGAGATCTTGAGAGCCATCTCCCAGAGGTGAAACCTCATGTCCTAAGGATGGGTAAGGTCTCTGAAATGGAGATTCTGTACAAAGAAGAACCACGTCTAGGGGAAACAACTTTGGAGAGTTCCAGTCCCTCTGCCACCACATCACTGTTCACTAAATTTAAATTGACCACTTATGGGGACAAATAACATAAACTAAGAGTTTGCTGCAAGTCAACTTTCCTCCTTTCTAATTTCATTAATTGATGTGTGAATTGAGATTAAAATGCTTGATAATAAAAATAGTGGCCATACAAATTAGTTTTCCAATGGTGGAAGTCTTGGAAATGCAGGACCCTATTTAAAAACCAAACCTTGTTAAAACATAAAGATTCAGTTGTTAAATAAGTTTGGATTCATTTAAAGAATACAAATACCTCTTTTTAAAATGGTTTTGAAGTCCTTGGCAAAGCTGTCTTTCTTCTGGTGTCATAAATGTATGTCATTCTTTTTAAAGGGGTAGCTCAAACTCAGGTCATGGCTTTTTTTCCAACTTAAAATCAAAGTATTGTCATGTCTTCTTCTTTTCTAGGCTTTTTTCTCCCTTCATTTCTATGAAAGCATTTCATTATGAGAACAGTGGCTGAGAGGTTTGCTGAAAGTACAATGTGATGGTCTTAAACATGGGGCTTCAGCTGTGTGGGGCTCAGCATGATCTGTCTTAATGAAAGGAGAAGCAGTGCAAGTTGGGTTTTTTTCTACAACTTGTTCTGTACTATGCTGAATTAGGTTTTTAGAGGAAAAACATCCAATTGACAAACAGAAGCTAAGTGCATATTATATTCTACTGATGGCTGTCTTGTCTTCTCAGTTGTTAGCACTAGGTTTGATCTCCACATTAAAAGGGAATGTACTTACAGTGGAAGCCATACTGTCTTTTCTCACCACTAAGTATCTATGATAAATCTTTCCTGCACTGTAAACCAAGCCCAATACCATTTATGTGGGGGAAAAATAACCTTTGAAATTTCTACAAGTCTCTTCAGACATTCCTTTTTTCCACTTCAGCCTCTCTGAGTATTTATGGGATATATTGAGATTATATCTCATGTTTTGCTTGAACTCTGCAGAAACCAGTGTTCAATGCTTAAACAAAACAACAACAAAGTCCGTTTAATCTTCATGAAGTCTTAAGTATACCATCAGATCACAGGATATCCATATTTAAAGGGATATAATTAAGGATGTCACACTCATACAACTTGTTTTAAGTTTTTTACCTTAGATTAAAGAAAGTAGAACTGAAAAGTGTGCCTGAGTTGTTATTAGGGAAACAGCAGTCAAAGAGATCACTATTGTTACAGTTTCTATATGCAGAGTACTTTTAAAGATTCAATTCACATCTATATGCATTATATGTTTGTCTTCACAGAAGAGCTAGGATTTAAATGGGCATTCATTCAGCCACTTGTTTATTCAACTAACATTTATTGAGTACCCACTTTATGCAAGGTACTATTCTGACAGTGAGAATATAGCAGTGATCAAAACAGGTAAGGTCCTTGGTCTCTGGAGAGACAGACAAACCCCAGGTCCATGAAATGAAGTAATTTCGGATAGTGTAAAGTACGATGAAGAAAATGTAGGACAATGTGATGAAGATGGAGGGTTGGATACTTAAAGTGAGTAATCTGAGAAGGTCACTTTAAGGATGTGATATTTGAGTTGAAGTTAGAAAAATAAGGAAGAGCCAACTGGAGGAAAACCTAGGGATAGAGAATATAAGGCAGTGGAAATAGTAAAAGTGAATTGCAGAGAAGTTAAATAACTTGCATAAAGTTCACCCACAAGAGAACTGCATAGCTAGAGCTATGTAGCTCTGTTATTAACAGGCTTATACTATTTCAGGCAGTCTGGATTTCTATAACTTTCTATTTATTTCGTATCTATTTGAAGGAATTATTGTGCATAATCCTCACTTGTTTTCCAGTTTTGAGAAATAATTGACATACATCACTACTTAAATTTAAAGCATACAGCATGATGGCTTTATTTACATATAAGGTGAAATAATTACCACAATACGTTCGTTAACATCCATCTTCTCATACAGGTACAATAAAAAGGAAAGGAAGAAAAAAAGAAGGGAAAAATGTTTATCTTCTTAGGATTTACTCTTTTAACTTTCCTACATGCCATACAGCAGTGTTAACTATAGTCATCATGTTGTAACATTACATCGTTAATACTTATTTATCTTATAACTGGAAGAAGTTTGTACCTTTTGACTATCTTCATCCTATTCCCCCTCCTCCCACTCTCTACCTCTGGTAACCAAAAACCTGATCTCTTTTTCTATGAGTTTGGGGTTTTTGTTTTTATTTTTTTTAGATTCCACATATAAATTAAATCATACAGTACAGTATTTGTCTTTCTCTGTCTTATTCCTCTTAGCATAATATCTTCAAGGCTCATCCCTGTGGTCACAAATGGTAGGATTTCCTTGTTTTTTTGTGGCTGAATAATATTCCATTATATATATATATGTGTATATATATATATATATATATATATATATATATATATATATATCACATGTTCTTTATCCATTCACCCATCGATGGACAATTAGGTTGTTTCCATGTCTTGGCCTCTATAAATAATGCTGGTATGAACATAGGGGTGCAGATATCTTTTCGACATAGTGTTTTCATTACCTTTGAATATACTTCAGAAATGGAATTGCTAGATCATATGGTAGTTCAGTATTTAATTTTTTGAGGAACGTGAGAAAGCCATACTGCTTTCCATAGTGGATGCACCAATTTACAATCTACCAACAATGCACAAGCATTCCCTTTTTCCACATTCTTACCATCATGTTATCTCTTGTTTTTTTTATGATGGTCATTCTAATAGACATGAGTGATATCTCAGTGTGGT